AGTACATCCGCCCATCTCGCAACAAGTGGGAATAAAACCACGAGTACGAGAAGGTACTCGGCCCGGACTTACCCGACATAACGAAAATAAATGACACCAAGGATTATGCGGCATTATAGTAGGGTAGTGACTCATTTGCAAAAGAAGCATTTTAGCATTTCAAGAACCTTTCTAAAAGCGGTATTGTCAAGTTAATTATTATTAACTTTTCGACTAGATTTTCACCTATACTAGAGTAAACATGTGATTAAGCGATTAATGATAACCACTGATCATTAAACAACTTCCATCTTGTCATATTCACTATAAGCATCCAAGTGTTCCATAAACATTTACTACGATGAAGTCACTCAAGTCAAGTGCTCACTATCCGGGAGGCGATGGCGATTCGAATCGATTCCTAACCAGGTGGTGATTTATTCCTTACACAAATCTCACTCACCCTAAAAGAGATATATTGATCACCGAGTCAACTTTCCGGTATCTCGAGTTTGCCAGAACCACATGTACCGGGGGGCCGACCCGATTGCACTTTGGTCTTATCATCCCGCCCGTGTCCTACCACACTGCTTGACAAGGTCTTGTTGCGGGCAATCTACTCGGCCGAAAAAATCTCCCGGCTTCAGCGGTGGGAAGGTACTTTATCCGCCCGACTAAATGTAAGGCATCGTTCAACATGACTCGAGGCCCAACAACGGTCGGTCCTTAATCGACACAGACGGAAACACTACAGTCCAAAACCCTGCAAGTCTCCGCCCGGTCTCAACTTCATTTAACACTTAGTTATACCATGACTTCATAGCCATCCAAACAGATCCAGGTAACCACCTATAGCTCGCAGGTGACAGGAAATCACCCGACTTCTACCGGTCTAAGCCAGCTAAGCATTGACTTGACTGCGGATACCAGGGTAACAAGGATATAGTATAACAAAGGTAAACAAGGTATAATGCAGCAACGGTTGCAAACAACTCCTGAACGTAATGCATCAATTTAAAGTAAAGCATTTAACGAAATCATTGCAAACCGGGAGAAAGATGCTCCGGGGCTTGCCTCTCTCGAAGGAGCTCGGACGGTGATCGGGGCACTCCGGAAGTTCTTCAACGTCCTCCTCGTCGGCTTCTGGCACTTCCTGCGGCTGCACCTCGAACTGCTCCTCGGGCTCCTCGGGAATGACGACTGGGTTCTCGGTTTGCGATCCTGTATGATGCAATGCGTGTAAGTGCCTATGCAATCGGTGCATCGAAGGAGATGAATGCGATGAACATGTTGAAAGGCAAGGTAGACAACATCATCCAAGAAACTATGCTACAAGCACATGTCATCTACTGCATTCTCTTCTACTACTAATATGTCAAGTTAACCTATCTTGTGAAATGCTTCAAAGATACACCAAAGCTTTACTAATTTCTTAATCACACTTAGGGCAACACTTGCTTATACCTTAATTAATAATAGGTTTGAATAGCAACCTATATTTCTGATGCTCCTAAAAATCTGAGAAAATTACAGTAGCATACTACTACCCTAAACAGACTACCATAAAAATTTCATGGCATTTGGATAAGTAAACTATCCTACACAAAAATGACAAGCTATAGCCTAAAAATGAGCATGAAATTACTTTGTACTATGAAAAGTGTCAAACAACAGAATTAATATTTTTCCTAGGTTCTTCATGGTATATAATGACTGTACAAAAATTATCACATGCATGTTTTATACAAAGTTTGCTCTCTAGCAAAAATAACAAAAATCAGCCATTTAAGGTACTTGAACTACACCTCTAAAGTTTTCCACATCACATGCATGAAATATATTTTTCCTAGGAAGTACATGACATAAGAAGATTAACAAACTTGGAATCATATTTTTCTGAAGCCTAGATATTTTTCTACATATTTTTCAAGTTATCAGCAATATTCAAGATTAAATAAAATCCTATAGAAAAGTATATCAAAAATGACATGCACTATTTTTCCCAAGTAGATCTGGTGATAAGGAACCTAGAAAATTTTGTTTCAACAAATTTGGAACAAGTTTGATCATCCAAACATTTTTCAAACCATTTTGATTTCAAATAACAAATAATAAAGGAAATCAATTCACTTTAAACAATCTTTGGCCGGCCATTGAAACAGCTGGCCCACGGCCATCACCGACTGCTTGCCCCAAGCGCCTTGAGGAGGGGAGTCGGCTGGCTCGGGGCTCGACCACGACCACTTAACTGGCCGACTGGCCGGAGGCCGAGGCCATCTTATCTGCGCTTCTTATTGTGCCTGTGTGGCTTTCGACACGCAGGCAGTGACCATCTCCGCCGAGGCAAAGGGGCTAAGCGGCGCATGCGATCTGCGAGAAGATGGTGAGTCTTGGTAGGGTAGCTAGGCGAAATTTGGAGAGAAGAGGAGGAAGGCGACTTCCATGGCGGCCAAACCACGGCGACGCCGTGGCCGTCGGTGGCGAGACTGAGGCGGCTCTACCTGAGCTCGGAAGGCGGCGCAAATGCGAGCACAGCTTGAAGGAGGGCGAGGCGGAGCTGCGGGCGCGGGATTGCCAGCCGAGGTGGGGAAGCCGCGGCGAATTCCGCCGGCGGGTGCGCGGCGCGGCGAGAGGCAGAGCTTGGGGCTCTCGGCTTTGGCGAAGAGGGAAGGCAGCGCGGGGGAAAGTGGGCGAGCTCACCGGCACCAGCCAGAGGTGTAGTAGCGTGGGCGCGGCGCAGGTCGTGGCTGGCACATGGGCGTCGCGTTAATAACAAGCAGAGGCGGCCACCTGGCGCGCGCTCTGCTGCGCCTGATGACGATGCCTTGTGGCCTGGTGTGGCAGTGAGGCAGGCCAGGCGCTGTGATCTGATCTTTGGGCCGAGGCGAGGCGGCGCCTTGTGTGCCGGAGGCTCATTGGCCGGCATGCGGGCATCTTGAAATTTAGGGAGGCGTGACCCAGCAAAATGCTAAACACTCTTTTTTAATTTCCAATTTCAATAAATTTTAAATACAGTTTTCAAATATTATTTTGAGCAAGAAAATGACCTCTTTTGAAAATGTACCAAAAATGAAAGTTGCTTAGAATTTAATTCCCTACAACTTTGCTTTTATGACCACAGCCAAATTCTTTCTAGATTTTGAATTGGAAGATCAAAGTCCACGTTTAGCTCAAAACCCTAATTTTTGGAATTTATTCTTGAAGCCAAATTTTGAATTAATTTGAATACAAACATTGCTCCAAAAATTGAACTAAACATTGCTAGATGATTTACAATAGCAGCCAAACATGTTCTACTAACCTAGCAAGCAAGAATCAGAGCAAAACAACTCTAATAAGTGTATGCATCATTTACGTTTCACAAACATGTTTCGTATGTTTCGAAGTAATGTTTCAGTTATTATATGCAAGATTATGCATGTATGATTAGGATGCTTGATGATGCATGATATGCGTGATTTGCAGTGCCTAAATGTAGGCATAACACCGGGGTGTTACAGCATGAATACAATGTATCTTTCACACTTGCTCTTAATATATGCAAAGTATGTCTTGAAGGTTGTTTGTAACATTTCTAGAGGCAATGGATGGAAAGGCACCCCTCAACATAATCACCGATTAGGACGCTGCGATGAGAGCCGCCATTTGCACTGTTTTTCCAAACATGACCCACAGGAATTGCAAATGGCATATCATGGACAAGTTTTCAGGCACAATTGGACTGATCCTTGCTAAAAATAAAGAACTAAATGAGGAGTTTGTGGATTGCTTGAACCACACTGGAAGTCCAAAAGATTTTCGGTCAAAGTGGGTCGTTATGGTCCAGAAACACGATTTGGAGGGCAATGAGCATTTTCAGCACCTGTACCACATAAGGCAGAGCTTCATTCTAGCCTACTACATGCATAGCTTCTTCCCATTCCTCTAGTCGACTCAAAGGAGCGAGGGGTTCAATGCTTTGCTCAAGAAGTATGTGAACCCAAACTTGTCCGTGCTACAATTTGTGAGACAGTACCAGAAAATACAAGAGAAGTGTCTGGTAGCACAGGATGGGCAAGACTTTAGGACTGATGAGAATGAGCGAAGACGATGGTCAAGGCATCCACTTGAGAAGCATGCTTCCACTGTATACACAAAGAATAGGTTCTACAAGTTCTCCAAAGAGTTTATGGGTATGAAAAAAGGAACTACCTTGTTACAGCAATAGAAGAGGAACTGGCTAACAGTAGTGTTGAGTGTACTTTTTTCTACAAAGGACAAAAGAAGAGGAAAAAATTGGTGTAAGTAATGGATTGAAACCACACACAAAATTTGGACAAAACCCAAAAAAAGGAGTGAAAGTGAACAAGTGGAATGGGCCTCCACAAGATTCATACAAGCTTGTGTTGTGTAGGCCCACGAATGGGGGGGGGAACAAGTAGAGTTAAGCAACCATATAAGCAACAAAAGGAATGACCTTTTTGACTAGTAAGAATAGGCTAAATTGCCTATTTAGGAAGACATTGTTGCCTAACGAATGACACTTAAATTGCCTAAGAAAATGGAAAGATGCTAAAATGGGGATGCTAAGAACACGGGATTCATGAAAAGACAAGACCATCATGGGATTCATGAAAAGTTAAGCTGAACTCTAGGAAAAAGGATGAATCATCATACTACCACACAAGTCAAAAGTAGGCACGAAAGAAACTACATAAAAAAGGATGAAGTATAGGATGAATCAAAATTTTGTAATTTATTTATTTATTTTTGTTTAAAAAATAATCAAGTAATGGGCTAAACTCTAAACTTAGTAAATAGGAAAGGCAATGCACATTGACATTTGAGTCTTAGCATATAAGATGTACAACGGGTCTACCAACACAAATTTTCACGCAAACACATTCAAGTACATTTAACAAAAAATAGTAGTCGTAAGAACATCATTAGAGAAGAGACCATGTACAAACCTGATCTGAAATGCCACTGGGAACCTTCGAGGAGACAAATCTTCTTATATCATCCATGTGGAACAATGAAGGCTATGGAGTAGAATAGCTTGATCCTTTCAACTGGACACATAAACATGTACAGGCAAAGTTATAATATGGACATGGGGATACTTTAGCGACAAAAGGGAAGCCACATTGACCTATTGATACATACCTTGAGCTTCCCAAATGAGTCATCACGGTTGGTGTCTAACTTGATGACCTGATCCAACAATTTCCTTGACCATGCTGCAACTCTAAGCATGGTGGAAGGGATTTTTACATTGTCAACCAGAAGCGAGTCTACATATAGAATCTGCAAAGATGAAAAATCAATGAGGGCATCAAAACATAAGAAGAAAGAATGAAGAAGTAGAAACATATATGGCTGAGATTGGTAGTGCTTGTTGCAGCGGCGCTATGGCTACTGCTGCTGCAGCAGCACCCACCAAACACTGCAGCATAGAACAAGACGCGAAGTGTCAGTGCAGAAAGTGACCAACACATAAATATTTATAGTTTTGCCATACGTTGTGATTGGATGTGGCCTAACACTCAATGACACAGGGTTTATACTAGTTTAGGCAACGTGCCCTACGTCTAGTTTGAGTCGGTCGGTGACTTTATTCCTGAGCCTAGGTGCTCAAAGTTTGTTGTGGGTTACAAACGGAAGGGAGTAAGATGGGGGGTGCAAGAGGTCCAGTCAGACTCCAGACTAAAGGGCTGAGAGTGACGGGAGCTCCTACGTGCGCTAAGTATTCGAGCGTGCGCTCTGTGTAGCTTTAGAGTGTCTAAAGTTAGCAGAGGGTGAGTCGATCGTTGGTTGTTCTAATCATTCGAGTCCTCTCTTAGAGAGTTGTCGATGGATCATCGTGTGTGTGAGTGAACTGATCGTGAATGGATCTGTTCGTATTGGGAGAGAGCGCATCCCCTTTTATAGATGAAGGGGATGGCCCTACAAGCGAGAGAGAGAGTACGTCTACTAAGTCTTGTTGCCCACGGCGTCGGGTATAAGATGATTGTAGGTGCTCACATCACTGTTTATGCCAGACGCATGTGGGAGGTTTTACTGCATTCACCATGTATGGCAAATGACGGCGCCCACAACACTGTCGATGCCCAGAGGCATGTGGGGGATTTTACCGTGTTCCCCTGGTATGGGAATTGATGGCGCCCGCAACACTGTAGGGCAAACGTTGGCGCCCACAACACTGCTTGGGTTCTGACATGCCTAGAAGGTTGCAGGGCACCCTTCTGACATCCTATCGGTACTGTCCTGTAGATGTACAGGATATGGTCCTTGGTATTGCTTTTGACTTGAGCGTCTTGCCTTAGTTGCTCCGTCCATTTCTTGGGTTCTCACCGAGCGGGTGTCCCCGGTAGGTTGGTCCCAGTCAGCTCCGACTGTGCCTATCGAAGAAGAGTTGTAAGCAGAGGTTCGGTGTATTCCTGGTTCGAAGACGCGGGTCGGAGTCGGAAGCAAGCGACGTTCCTCCTTGGCCAAGCCTTTCGGTTGGAGAGGTGGGCTGAAGTCGAAGCGAGCGTTGTTCCTCCTCAGCCAGGCCTTCCGGTCGGAAGCGAGGCCTTCTAGTCGGAGAGGTGGGCTGGAGTCGGAAGCAAGCGCCGTTACTCCTTGGCCAGTCCTTCCGATTGGGCGCAGACCCAAGAGTCGGGCGCAGCCGAGGCAATGAGGGATTGGGCGAGAGTCATGGATCCAGGCGTTGGGTGCAACCGAGGCAATGAGGGATCGGGCGAGATGGACTCATAGACCCAGGCATCGGGCGCAGCCGAGGCAATGAGGGATCGGGTGAGATGGACTCGTGGACCTAGGTGTCGGGCGCAGTCAAGGGGTAGCCGAGGGATCAGGCGAGACAGACTCATGGACCTAGGCGTCGGGCGTAGCTGAGGTGTTTGGGCGTCCTGAGCCCCTAAGCCCCATTAGGCTCGGTAGGGGTCAGTTTGAATTTTCATGTGTTACCCCGTCCGTGGTTTTTGCAACCGGAGGAGTTGGGATAACGTCGCTTGCCTCGATGGCTCGAGTGACGCGCTCGGTGAGCTCGCTAATGAGCATGTTCGAGTGAAATCCGGGTCTATCATTCATGACAGGGTTGGCATAGCCCTCATGTGGCATTCCACTGCTCCTTAACCCATGTCCCGGTAGATGTCTAGGTCATTTCGGAGACCGACCTAGGTGGCCCGCTGGCCTCCCCTTGATGGAGATTCTGTGGGCATGGCTCGAGGTTAGGATCGAACGAGAAGGTTGAGATGACCTTGTCTGCTTCGGAGCAGACTGGGCGAGGGCCGCTCGGGGCTCATATGCGTTTTCTCCCCTGGCTCTGTTTGACGCGGGGCAGCCTCGAGCCCTTTGTGGGCCAGCCTTCGAACCCTGGTCGGTCGTTACTCATATTGAATGAGGCAACTGCTGCTTCATGATGCAACACAGAGCATTGTGATGCATTTAACTACATATGTGATGCTTCGGATGTGTGGGATGAATGAATGACTTGTATGAATGAATGTGTGAATGCGTGTATGAATGTTTGAATGACAACAGATGAATGAATAATCATATAAAGAAAATAGTGGGGGTTGGTAATGTTACCTTGATGACTCGAGTGATGGGGTTTGAGGAGCTCCTATCAGATATGTCCGACCAGGATCCGTGCTTGTCGTTTGTGATAGAGTCAGCATGGCCCACATGGGGCGTCCCTTTGCTCCTTACCTCTCTCTCAGCGTTGGCCTAAGCCATCCGATCAACTCAGGAAACCCGTTGGTCTCTCTAAGGCATAGATTCCATAGTTGGGCCTTTCCAAGTCCTGCCTGGGAAGGCGGAGGGCCACCTGCGCACAGTTGCGTCTTGTTTCTCCCGCTCGGCATGCGGTAGTGGTGGGCCATGCCCAGGCCACGTCCTATCTAACCAGGCGTCGTCTCGTCGAGCAGGGTGCATCCCATCGGTCAGGGCACGTCTTGTCGTATCCCATCCGCATTGTATGGGGGAAGGGAGAGGGGTTTTCACCCCAATCCCTTTCCTTTCCCCAACTGCTGCTCCTTCTCCTTAAATAGGGGAAGGGAGAGGGCTTTCGTCCCATTCCTTCGCCTATTCCTCATCTGCCGCCTCTTCTCCTTCTTCCTTCTCGCCAAGAGCATTTGAGTGCCATGGTGGTTCCTAGGAGAGAAAAAGGGGAGAGCGAGGGAGAGGAGAAAACTCACAGATCCATTCGCGAATTCGGAGCATAATGTCGAGCTAGAGGTCATCCGTTGTGAGCGAGTCGGTGCTGGCCACCTTCGCCGAGAAGGGGGTGCTGCCGTCGAAGGAGGTGGCGCACTGGAGGGCTCCTACAGGGGAGGATTTCCCGTGACCTCAGGATGGTGAGGTTGTCTCCTTCCTCGCCTTCCATGAGCGTAGGTTAGGATACCCCACGCATTGGTTCCTGCGCGGGCTCCTTAACGAGTGGGGTCTGGAGCTGCAGCACCTCAATCCGACTAGGGTGCTGCATATCGCCGGCTTCATCACCATGTGTGAGGCCTTCCTTGGGATGGAGCCGCACGTGGGTGTATTCCAGCAGATGTTCTCTAGGTGAGCTTTATCGGAGGGGAAGCCACTCAGGATCGCACCGGTGGGAGGCTTCGCACTGCAGAAGAAACCGAGCGTGTCTGGCTCATACCCCGCGCACACCCCCTGCGATTCCAATCGGGGGTGGCATAGGGAATGGTTCTACATCAAGAACCTAGCAGAGGCGTCATTCCCACCTTTCACTGGTAGGAGACCGGAGAGGCAGGAGAGCTGGTCGTGGGGCCCTGCCAGTCGGTAGAACAAGAAGCTGGAGATTATCGAGGTGAAGCTCTAGATGCTAATGCAGCAAGGCCTTGATAGGGTGCGGGTGTTCCACACCTTCTTCCGCCATCGGGTCGCCCTACTGGCAGAAAGGGCATGGCCGATGTGGATGTACACCAGCCCGATGGACTCCGACCATGCGTCGCTGGAGGAGCTACCGAACAACGAGGTCTGGAGTCGTCTCGACCTGGTGCTGCAGCTGAGGGCCAAAGAGACCCTTGATGGAAAGCCTAGACATCTTCACGCCGCAAAACTGTCCAAATTGGTGTGCTCCCCTCTCCTCTATGTTCTTTTCCCCTTTTGCTCTCCTATATCTTGACTTTGAGTCATCCGTTTCGTAGGGACTCAGAGTTTACAAGTCCCGGCCGCATCTTCCAAAGGGGCCGAAGGGCGTGGCCCGGTAGGCCGCCCTGAAGGAGGCGACGGTTGAGAGGAAGAAGAAGAGAGCTAAGAAGGCTCTATGGAAGCATGAGAAGGAGATGGAGATTGCTCGGCATGTGTGGGCCGGGGAAAACAAGAGCGACGTCGAGTCGGAGGATCCCACAGAGATGGGTGACGATGTGATCTCCTCCAAGGATGACAGGGGCCAGGAGGTCGTCGTGACCTCGGTGGGGCATCGCAAGCCTGTGGTTGCGTCCGTCGATGGTGAGCGGGAGGTGGAGAGGCGCGGCAACGTTCCCATGCCGAGGAAGTGCGCCGTGAGCTCAGACGCCATTGGAGAGCGGGAGGCAAAGCAAACGCGGTCACCGTGCCCTTTGGAGGCATCGCCGGCCTCATCCCCTCCTGTCCCAGGCGCGGTGGGGCAGGCCAGGCAGTTGGAGGAGTAGGCTCGCACCTGCGCATCATCGGGGCTGGCATCGGTGCATGACCCACAATGGGGGGATGCCCCACCAGCTGCTCCAGTCGGTGCGCCTCGAGACGGCAGTCACGGCGATGCGAGGGACGAGCGGGTGGCGGCCGGGTTGACTCCCCCCTGGTCGAAGTGAGGGACATGGGTCATGGCCTGTGAGCAGTCCTCGGCCGGTGGGCCCATTGCCAATGGGTCGGGGCTTCAGAGCCCTGCCGCTTACGTCCCGGTATGCATTGTTTGATTTCATAGTTTCAGTTTTTTGGAGTGTGACTGACCTATACTTTTTCGACAGTGGCTAGATGCTGCTGGGGTTGAGCATTGCCCCACCTCCAGTGTGGGAGGAGTGGAGTCCCACCTTGCATCGCATTGCAACGAGCAGCGGGGAGAGCAGTGCGGCGGCGGTGCGACCTTCCCTTCTGGGTGCGGCGCCCCCTGGGTCGGTTGCTAGTACGGCGGCAGTGGCGACGGTGGTGTTGGCAGCGATCCCGGTGGTGATGGCGGAGGCTACGTCGGAGGTGACCCTTGCGAGCCCTCCTGCACCGGCTAGGGCGGAAGAGGGGAGGGAGACCGGGCTCCCTGCCTTGCCTAGCGGAGGGCCGCATGGCTCACCCTCCCGGTCGAACCCGGTGGT